GTCTCTGTGGTCTCTCCAAGCGGCAGCTTCAGGCAGCTTGACAGCTCTGGTACTCTCTAGCTTCAGAAGTCAGATATCACTCAGACGGTTTTGTTTACTAAACCCGTCCATATTCAAGCGAAGAAATATATTTTTTTCCTCTAGAAACTTTTTAGGATTTTTGTCGTCACTTTTAGTGGTTTGAAATTTCAATACAATATTTTCAATTGTGAATCTCTGATGATAATGGTGGTAGTGATGACGACGACAACGATGATGATGATGACGATGACGATGATGATGATTGCATTCACTGGGCACTTTATATCTGAAGAGTCCTAATTTTGCTATTTACCTCTGGAAAAGTCCTTCTATAATTTCTTTGGCTTTTCTGTTTGATTTCTAAACTTCCTGTCAGAGAGCTGGCAGAACTTGGGATTTATCCTTCTTACCTCTTTTCATACATTCTCTCTCTCTCTCTGTCCTTTGTTCTGCATTCCTTTTATGTCTTTCATGGGTTCAGTAGATTGGTTCACTTACTTACTTTTTAGCTATGTCCATTTTTCTTTTTGGCCCAATTACTGAACTTATTTTTTTAAATATATTTTATTGATTTTTAAATATATTTTGAGAGGAAGGGAGAGAGAGAGCTAGAAACGTCAATGAGAGAGAAACATCGACCAGCTGCCTCCTGCACACCCCCCACCGGGGACGCACCCGCAACCAACGTACATGCCCTTGACCGGAATCAAACCTGGGACCTTTCAGTCCGCAGACCGACAAACCGGTTTCGGCTGAACTTTTTTTTTTATAGTCATAATTTATTTCCTAAGTTTCCCAATGTGTGTTTCACAAATTTCTTTAAGGTTATTACATTTAATTTACAGTCTTCTATAGACCCTCTTAACTCTGTTTTCTTTGAATTTTATTCTCTTTATTATATTTATCGCCCCTGTCAAATTGTTTTCCTCAAGTCTTTGATTGTGTGCTCTTGCTGGGAATCCATGTTGGCCTCTAACAGTGTGAAGACAATTTATAAGCTTCTTTTATAAGTATAAATGTCTCATCACTTCATCTCTCTATGCATCCTCCTCCCAAAGTACTTGTCTTGAGAAGAATAAGAAGAAAATATCAAGAAGATTCTCTCAATGAGAAAATACTGTGATTTCATGTTACAAAAAAAATTGAACTTTGATGTACTATGAAAAACACTGTTCTTTATTTCAGAAAGTTAAATCTTAACCATGATTTCTATATTTACTCATCATTAGCCACTCCTAACCATACCCTCAGCATGTTGTGGTCAGTTTTAAGTTTTAAAATATACATGGCTTCTATAAATATTTAACCAGTAAAATAACCTCTTGCTAAGAAACTACCTTCAGTGTGTGTGTCTTTTTTAATGTAAACTTTTTCCTCTAAAATTTCTTTTATAAATTTTGTTTTGTAGGTTGTTGTGGAGAAACTAATTTGTCTTATACTTAGTTTACGTATTTAAAAACAGAGTTGGGATTGATTTGTGTCAAAACAACAATGAAGTTACATATTATTTTGTGATGTTTTGAAGTGCTTTTGCTGAAGAAAGAATAAAAATTGCTATAACTCTGGACCATGTTAGAGACTCAAGATTGACTTAAAATTTAAACATAGAGTAATGTTTATTCTTGTCCTCCTATTTGTCAGGGAATCTTAACCAGAGTGAGAAATTTTCTGGTGCTGTGTTGAGAGTGTAGGGCACAAGAGATTTCCATAAAAAGGCAAGGGATTTGCTTGGAAGAACATAGTGGTTTTCTAACTTGGCAGTAATGAGTTAGAACTAACTCCTTTAAAAGAAAATATTAATTCACATTATTCCTTATTGGGTATTGTATTGGTGTGTGTGTCTTTTTATCTCAGCTATACATTTTTGTATTTGCATGTGTGCATATAGACTTATATTTGTAAGCCATGGTATTTATATATAAAGAAAATATGACTTTGGAACGTAACTATCTTGCTACTTGAGTTGAGGATCGGCCAAATATTTTATTGTTGCAGAATACCCAAAATAATTTGACCATGTCTGAGTGCTTTTCCCAAATTCCCTTGCCTCAGGGGGTAATTTGGAGAGTATAAGTGAACCTTACTATATTAGGATTCCCTCTTGAAAGATACACATTTTTGGATTGAATGAAATCACCTCTTTTTGAAATGACAGCAATCCTAAGACATATCATTGGGGCCTAGAGAGGGAGTTATGGATATGGAGAACTGTCTGGATGAAATACATGCTCTTGTGTTTAATTGTCAGTATTTTCCCCCCTAGAAATGGGAGAATCACTTGATACAAACAGAGGTATGGGTGACTAGTATCCAGAATATACCTCTCCCATTGCATTTTTCCCTCAGGTTTTCTATCCGCCTATATGGCTGTTTCTCAGAGCTCAGTTCTTCGCTGTCTTCTGTATTCACTGAGGAAATACCCCTTTGCTCATCATCTTTGGTTTCAACTACCTTCTTTCATAACAACAGCTCCTACATCTCTACCTCAAGCCCGCTGGTTTCCGCGAGCTTCCAGACTCTGCCTGCTTTCCCACAGGAGTCTCAGAACAAGTTTTGGCTGGAAGCATTAACTTGCTTTTTAAATCTCTTTTTGTAGTTCCTGTCTTAATGGAAGGTATGCTACCAGCCACCTAGTTTCTCCAAGCTAGATATCACCATCAACTCCTTCCTTCGCCTTAATAACCTCTAGTCCGCCGCGGAGTCTCCTCGGCATAGAAGCATTGCTCCCTCTTCAGCTGGTGTTGCTGTAACTCTTTTCCTGCTTCTAGTGTCTCTTTCCTCCATCCACTTTATATACTGTTACCAGTTACCCTTCCGGAGTGAATATCTAACTATATGACAAAATCAGTTCTCCCCTACCCCCCATTGCTTGCTTACTAGATAAAATGTAAACTCTTATTAAATATGGCAAATGCCTTTGCAAGCATTGCCCAGTCCCCATACCCAGCCTCGTTTTTCAGACCTTTCAGACCCTGTGTTCTGGCCGCGCTGAGCGACGTGGTCTTCCCTGGATCTTCCCTATTTCATGGTGTGGAGTGTTCGCTCAAGGTGTGCCTCCTGCTTGGAATGCCCTTCCCTACAGGCTGGAGCATTTCGATTTAGTTATCGCGTAGCTGTTATGTAACTTGCATGAAAAACTGCGCTTTCCTCTGATCCTCCACCCCTTTAAATTTTTTGTCTCTTGTAACTTTGTTCACATCTTATGGTAGTTATTTTTTCTTCCTCTGTGAGCTACTTGAGGATGATTTCTGTGTCCCTGGCACCTCGTATTGAACTGATACCTAGGAGGTGCTTTGAAAATGTTTGATTCGGAGCAACAGTCATATTCACCATTGTGTCTGTTGCATAGTCCACTAGTTTATCCTTGCTATGTTACTTAATCAGCTTTGGCTGCTATAACAGATTATCACAATGGGATGGCTTAAACAACAAGTTTGTTTTTCACACTTCTGGAGGCTGGCAAGTCCAAGGTCAAGGCACTGGCAGGTTAGGTGTCTGGTGGGGACCTGCGCCTGATGGTCTTGTATCCTCACAAGGCAGACAGAGAATTGAGTTATTGGATCTCTTATAAGCACTCTAATCCCATTCATCAGGGTTCTGCCCTCATGACCTCATCTAACCCTAATTACCTCCCGAAGTCCTCACTTCTTAATACCATCGGATTAGGGGAAGGTTTCCAATGTAAAAAATCTGTAGGAGCCCTATTTGGTTTGGTTCAGTGGATAGAATGTCCCGGGTTCAATTCGGTCAAGGGCACGTTCCTTGGTTGCTGGCTCCTCCCTGGGCCCTGGTGGAGCGCACAAAGGAGGCAGCCAGTTGATGTGTTTCTCTCATCGATATTTCTGTCTCCCCTCTCTTCTACTTTCTCTAAAAATCAATGGGAAAATATCCTTGGATGAGGATTAAAAAGAAAACAGAATCTGCAGGAAACACATTCAGTTAATTACGCTATGTATATAATTGGCTCTCTGAGAAATTTCCCCTTTTTTCTCCATTGAATTTTCTTAAATTCTATTGAGCAATAATTTACCTGTAATAAATGCACCTATTTTAAATGTACAGTTCAGTAAGTTTCGATAGATGCATGCACCCATGTCAGCACCACCACAGTCAAGATACAGATCATTTTCATCACCCCCCAAAGTGCCCTTATACTCCTTGGTTGTCATCACCCCTGCTCTACCACCACTGCTCCCAAGCAGCATTCTGGCACTGTAAGTTCATCTTTCGTAGAATTTCATATAAGTGGAATCATACAGTATTCACTCTTAAGTGTTTGGCTTATTTTGCTGAGTGTGTTTTTTAGTTCATTCATGTTGTGCATTGGTCAACACAATTCATTCCTTTATGTAGATCTAAGTTTCTGTCTCAGCATTTTCTTCCCACCTGAAGAACTTCCTTTGCTTGTTATAAACCTGTTCTGGTGAACCCCCAGCTTTTTTTTTTTTTAATCTGAAAAAATTATTTTACTTTCATTTTTGAAGAATATATTCATCGTATTTAGCATCCATCTAAACTTTTTTTCTCTAGCCTCTTATGTATAGAATTACTCTGATATTTTAAGCATGTATGTGCATTATATTAAAGCTCATGAATAAATATCAAAAAGTACATAAGCTGTTTTAAATGAGAGCTTCATAAATAATTGAATTTATGACTGTACTTATAACTGCTAGTTTTAATCTTATTTTCTGATCAGACACTCTTAGAAGTAACAAACAGGCTAATGATTGATGCTAGTCAAAAATGATCTTTAATTAAGTGAAATGCTTGGCAGTAATTCTATAATTAATATTAAAGTGTGCATGGTTTTACTGTGCAACCTCTGTCTTCGCTTTGATATTCTTAAGGGAAAAGCAAACAAAAATAAAATCTCATTTCATGTAATGGTTGTACGTTCTTAGGCTAATCTTATCATATGTATCGTTATCTTCATTTTTTTTTTTTTTCAGATTGTCAGTATTTAAACAGACCACACCATGCGTGAGTACAAGCTAGTGGTCCTTGGCTCAGGAGGCGTGGGGAAGTCTGCTCTGGTAAGTCAGCCACCTACCTATAACCAGTTAGTATGATACAAGAGGATTTGCTGTGTTTTTTATATGCTTATATCTGATCCCGAGGGGACAAGGATTCTTTCAATAACCATGAATGTGTAGTTTTATAATGGTGGCTTGTTCATTTTTTCGTTTACCAAATATTTATCGGTTACCTACTATAGTGTTCATTATTCAAAAGAATAGATTGTTTTCATTTTTAAGGAATTTACATTTAAGTGGGAGAGACTACTATAGTATCTGATACTATAGATAGCAGTGAGTAAGCCCTGCCCTGCCCAGACTTCGGTGGAACGAAGACCATTTTTTGTATGCGTGCTGTATTTATTTGGTAATTGTTTATTAAACTTCTGCAATGTCAGGCACTGGGGTTGTGACTGAACACAAATCATCCCAGTCCCGCACACAGCTTCCATCATCCTGGGAGAGATGTGATAAGTACATGGTTAAACAAAGAACCGCTTGATTATAATTGCAAGAGAGATGACTTTGAACAAAAAGTACAAATTGGTGACAAGTGAACCTAAATTAGCATTTAAACAATTCAGAGAAAAGTCGACATTGCTGGGGCAGGAGTGAGCATGAGGGGAAGTAGAGATAAATAGGTGAGAAGCAGGCTAGGGCCAGATTAGGACTTTTTTATCCTCACCTGAGGAAATGTTCATTAATTATGGAGCAGAGGAGGGAGGAGGTGCAGGGAAAAAGAGAGAGATGTTGATGTGAGAGAAACATCGATTGGGTTGCCTCCTGTGTGCACCTCGACTGGGGATCAGATCCAATTTTTTTCTAAGCCTCTTCCCTGGACCATACCTCGAAGACTTCTGCTCTAGTATAAAGCATATTAGAAAGTTTAAAGTTCTTGGTATGATTATATCCTGAGTTTCCTTTGAAGAAAAAGAGATTAGTAAGAAAGATGCTTGAAGTTTACTATATTCAAGTTAATCTATTTAGCTTAAGCTAAAATCATGTTCAAAATACCCCTGGGTAACTTGGTGTCAAGCGCTCAGCCCACATCTGTACCCTTTTCTCTAGGACTAATGGCTGTTTAATCTGTCCAGGAAATATTTCAGTCATCTTCTGTACTTCTTTCCACTTGTCAAATGATAAAATACCTAGTTTCTAGTCTGCTTTACAGAAATCCTAGAGATAAAAGTAGGTAATCTGAAAAAGATTTGTAGGCAGCATTTTCCAACAAAAGCACAAGGCTTCAGAATCGGGATGGTGTACATTTGAATTTCAGCTGGTATGAATGTGAAATATGAATGTGATTATAAATTTAATAAATCTGATACATTTTAATTCTCTTTTATCTTTTCCCCAAAATTAGAAAGGCTGGTTCAAGACTTTAAAATTTAGAACCTTACGTCTGTCTCCTTTCAGAGCAGGAGATAAAAGTTATATGTAGATATACAGAGGAGTAATGGGAGTTTAGTGGTAATTTCCATTTTTTAATAAATTAGAGTGTGTCGTTATTTGTATCTTTGTTGCATTTTAAAACATAATACACGTAATAGTTAGCAGTGCAGTGTCAGCAGCGACATTGCTGACAGTTTTGAACATGGCCATCTCCTTTCATAGTAAGTTACTCTTACATGTCCTTATATTGAAAGATAATTTCCCAGACTTCTCACATACTTTCCATTTGATCTTTACCACATTTTGAGGTTAATAACATTTAGGGAAGTTGATTTTTTTTAAATTCTTTAATTTTTCTCTGCCTTTTTTTTTTTTTTTTTCTTTTAGACAGTTCAGTTTGTTCAGGGAATTTTTGTTGAAAAATATGACCCAACGATAGAAGATTCCTACAGAAAGGTAAAATATGAAAATTAAGTAACTTTTATGCTTGAAGTTTTCCAGTGACTGAAAGTTTATGTCTAGTTATATAATAACTTTAAAGAAATTTTATCTTTAAACTATAAAAAATTGGTTGTTGGATTCTGTATGATAACATAATGCTAGATACATGTCATTATATATGTGCCCCAACTCCTCTGGTGTAAACTTCGGGTTTTGCATGGTAATGATATGTTGATATAGTAAGTTCATTAGTTCTAACAAAATCAACTCAAATGGGGCATGCTGATAGTGGGGGAGGCCAAGCTGGGAGCAGGGAAAGGGTAAACTGGAACTGTATTTTTGGCAAGTTTTCTTGTGAATCTAAAAAATAAATTTTTTTAAAGGGGAAAGGTTGATCTTGGCAAAATATACTATTTTACTTAATTACAAGATTAGCTAGAATTATGGATAATTTTTATGATTGTTTTTTCCAAACCTTATGGGGTGGGTCGGATGGGTGGTGGGCAGAAGACAGTGTTATAAAAAAGACCACAACTAACAATACACAAAAAAATAAAAAAGAAAGAAATATTAAACCTACCATTCAACAATAAGAAATTAAGTTCATCGAACTGTACTGACTGAGCAATTTCATTTTCTGCACATTCGATATAAAATGGTGCTCTAGATACTTTGAGAAGCTCCAGGCCTGATTCATTATTCATTGGATGTGCCCGTGTACAGATTGGGCAGGCTACCACATTCGTCCCACAAGTGGTGAGACAATGAATTTGTGGCCTCCAGTGGTGTTCCCCAGTGCCAGATCTGACAAAGAAGTAGAGTTTAAAACAGGCCTCAGGTTAATTTTAGAGACAGTGTTGCATTACTGGGATTTTCTCCAAATAAGTCGCTGGTTAAAGCTTTAACTCCACATGGAGACCTGTCCCCGGAATGCAGGAGGCGGACCGCTTTTCTCCGTCCCTTCTTTGTGAAAGTGTCCACACCGCTGAGAGCTGGTGCGCTCTCTAGGCCAGCCTTCTCCTCTTATAAACACTGGGCTTTCCCTGCGGTACCGCTCCCGCAAGCATGGTGGACGTTCCTAAAACCCATGGGAATTCTGTAAGAAGTGTGGCAAGCATCAACCCCACAAAGTACCATGTACAAGGAGGGCAAGGATTCTCTGTATGCACAGGGACCTTGGCGTTGTGACAGGAAGCTATAATGGGCAGACTAAGCCGATTTTTTTTTAAGACTAAAGCTACAAAGGAAACTGTGCTGAGGCTTGAATGTGTTGAGCCCAACTGCTAATCTAAGAGAATGCTGGCTGTTAAGAGAGGCAAGCATTTTGAACTGGGAGGAGATAAGAAGAGAAAGGGTCAAGTGATCCAGTTCTAAGTCTCATATTTTATTTCACTGCGTGATATATTCACTTCAAAAAAATAAAACACTGGGAAAGTAGAGTTCAGTTATAAAATTTCACCTTATGCACACAGCTTTTCCAAAGTATCTTTTTCCTCCAGTCCTGAGAACTATATGAGTTCAGTGATGCTCATTAGCAGCTCTGTTTGTGTTCTTTGTATCTCTTAAACTAAAATTTTCCTGTGTATTAAGTTTGGGATATAATATATTTCAGTAAAACTTTTAACATAGTAAGTTGTCAATATTTCTTTGCCCCCAAACCTTGTTTGCATTTGGAGTAAATTTAATAATTTGTGATTTGTTTTCTTAAAAAAAGAAAATATGAATAAGATAATATGAATTATCATTTTATGCATTTCTTTCTGTTAGAACTGTACCTATTTTCCTTCAGTTTTTCTTAAGTCATAGAATTTGAGCACTAGCTTTCTAATAGTAACAAGAGTTACAGTGATCAGAAAATATCTAAGCCCAACATTGATAGTCCTGGCTTCTATAATATTAATAGAAAATGCCTGAGACTTCCTGTTCTTAATTTTAATACCAAGTTAAGTCTCACCGATCCAGCACACTCTGGGGAAGGGCTTTGCTTTGTTCATATGCACTGGAGTATAGATGGGGGGGAAGCAGATTAAGGTTTTGATGTTACTTTTTCACTTTTTCTCCCCTGCCCCCAACAGCAAGTTGAAGTAGATTGCCAACAGTGTATGCTCGAAATCCTGGACACAGCGGGAACGGTGAGCATGCTTTCTCCTTTTATGATAGATTTCAACCTGTGAACAGGCTTTATCATCTGAATAACTCCTCTGAGTAAAAGTAATTATTATGATTAAGAACAAATTCTCTAACTGTAGGGCTTCTTAAGTGTTTTTATGTGCATGAAACCATGGATGGAGGACTTAAAGCTCATACCTCACTATTAACTTGTATGTTGAGTTCACTCATGGACTCTGTGTTGGGTTTCTTCTCCCTGTGGTCAGGTAAGGATGAAGCTGTTACTGCTTTTTTTTTTTTTTTTTTTTTTTAAAGATATTTCAAATCCAGAATCACTGGGTTTAAATGAGACACTGTCTCGACATCAGAGTCATTCATGTTTATAAAGATTATTTTGCTTTTATTAGTATTTTAACATCTCAAGGGGATGGTGACAGACACTTGTTTTTTTGACAAAACTCTTTAGGGTTATTTGGAGCCTCATTCTTCTTATTTTTAAATGAGTACAATAACCTTAGTATATCTTGTTTCAGATCACTTCTTACTCCTTGAAGATTTTTGCTTACTCCAATACTGCTTCAGTTAGAACTCTTGGTGGTAGAATCTCTATAGATGTTGTAGATAATCCAGTAGCCTGGCCTGTCAGTTCCTTGACCTCCATCCTGCTTCAGCCGTTCACGCCCATGGTCTTACCTTAGACTATGTGATTGCCCATAACTGTAACACCTCCCAGTCTCCTTCTCAAGCACAATACTCTCCATTTACCACTTCTGTTTTTCCACCTCACTCTCTTTCATACCCCTTAACTTCATTGGAACCTGGTTCCATTTATCCTAGCATCTTTGATTATTCCTCATACTCTCCACCCCCTCTTCACATAGCTTCATGCCCATGGTCTCCCTTTCCTAAACCATCTCCTGCACATAATCCTCAACTGCCCTGACTTTTCGGCAGCCTTAGATCAGTGGTTGTTGTTATTATTATTATTGCCTGTGTCCTTGGTTACTCCTAAGTTTTCTTTTCAGATTTGTCTTATCTCTACATGCTCTTGATTATAGAGGGCCTCCAGGACTTGGGCTTCTGTTTTTTTGCAACACTGCCTTGAAGTTATCTTTATTAGCACCAAAATGATTTAATTAGGATCTATTAATATTAGTAAAAAAGGAATGCATGATATATCGTTTTTTCTAAACCACACAAAAGTAAATTAAGATGGTTAAGATTTTCTCTCTAATTCTAGTTTATTGTCAGTATTTCCAGTCAGGTAAGTAGAGAGCAGGCACATTCACCTCAGGAATTTATAGAAACCATGCATCATGTCTTATGTTTCCTGTCATGATAGCACGGAAACAAAAAATGCAGTATTTCACTTGTGATTATTCTGATTTAAGTTGTCCTAATGTGTGTTCAAGAAATCATGTTTATAATTGCATATTTTTATTTCAGGAGCAATTTACAGCGATGAGGGATTTGTATATGAAGAATGGCCAAGGGTTTGCACTAGTATATTCTATTACAGCTCAATCCACATTTAATGACTTACAGGACCTGAGGGAACAGATTTTACGGGTTAAGGACACAGAAGATGTAAGTATTCTTCTCTCTGTAAGACACACTGCCATCTCTGTGGCCGAATAAGTTTACCTTTATAAATTTACCTACAAATTGTGTGCCTATTGAGATAGTTCAAAAGGAAGGGCAGGAATGATGACATGCCCCTGCTCTGTGGGTAGGAGTGCAGAAGCAGGGAGTGGAAGAAGGCTGGTAGAAGTGAGGCTCGGTCAGCTTTGAGAGGCGGACGCTGTGTCAGAAACAGTGTTCAAAGAACATTACTAAGAACCGTAATTATTTGTTCCTATTTCTAAAGTTCTGTTGGTATAGTTTTTACTTACAGGTGTTTTTATTATGTTAAAAGATTTTCATTTTATTATTATTTTTTAAAATATATTTTTATTGATTTCAGAGAGGAAGGGAGGGAAAGATAGAATCTTTGATTGGCTGCCTTCTACACGCCCCTACTGGGGATCAAGCCCAAAACCTGGGCATGTGCCCTTGACTGGAATTTAACCTGGGACCCTTCAGTCCGCAAGCTAAATGCTCTATCAACTGAGCCAAACCAGCTAGGGCAGGTTTTTAATTTTTAATTTAATTTTTGTTTTAGAATTTTTGTCTTATTTGGCATTCGTTGTTTTTGTGCCTTTTTGCAAAGGTGAAATGTATATTTTACATGTCCGCTTTAGTTTTGAACTATAAAGGCTTTCCTTTCAGTTGTATCAATCAGGATATTAAATTTCATTTGTACCTTTTTCTCTTTTGTATGTTCTCTCTCATTATTAATGGGAACATATGCACCTGCTCGGGACCTTCACTTAGGTAATATTGTAGGCAGGATAGATTTATACCATATGATTCATGACCAACCATAACCTAGTGAATAGTCCTCTTCCTTCCCAGGACCAATTTACCTAAGAGAGTTCTGTTTTCTTAGGCAGATACATGCAAATCACCGAATTCTGGTAATGTTAATCATTTTATCCATAAAGCGAACTAAAAACAATAGAGTTGTAGGTGCTTAGTGTTTGATCTAACTCATGATAATCTCCTGTTTTAGGTACAAGATCCACCATGTCCCTTAAGTTCTTTTGTATTGTGCCCATCACCTCACAAATGGCTTTGCTCTGTGGGTATCTTTGAACAAGGGTGTGGTACAGTTTGTTAGCAATCTGTTTTATCGAAAGTAGGGGCTGTGGATGGACATAGCCAAGCATTTCTGGTATGGAGAAAAAGGGAAGACATTACTTCTCTGGCTGTATTTTCTCCTTAACAACCCATCTGAACTGATCTCAGATTTGGATGTCAGGTGTAGGAGCAGAACTTGTTACTGCTCCTGTATTGGTCTTGCCACTGCTTCTGGCATTTGTTGGGACTGTGAGATGAAGCACTTGAACCACAATTAGGCCTCCGAGTACATTCTTCAGATTTTTCCACTTGGAATTCAGCTATCACTTGTAGTCCACATGGGAATTTTGGGGATTATATCTTTAAAATAATTAGCAGATCAATGTAGTAAGATCTCTTTCATGATTTTTCTGTCTCTTCCCCTGCCATTTACCTTCTCTCTTTAGCACTCATGTTCATACCTTTGTTTAAGCACTTGGTGAAGCATATGGTCCTCATTTACACATTGCAATTGGTGACAAATAGTTGCTTACTCTTGAGGATAAGTAACAAGTATGTTAGTGTTCGTTTTGTGTCATTCCTTCCCACAGGTTCCGATGATTTTGGTTGGCAATAAATGTGACCTGGAAGATGAGCGAGTAGTTGGCAAAGAACAGGGTCAGAATTTAGCAAGACAGTGGTGTAACTGTGCCTTTTTAGAATCTTCTGCAAAGTCAAAGATCAACGTTAATGAGGTAACCTCTAGCTGCTGGGCAGCAAAGACGAGTGTCTTTTTAGTCTCCTTTAAGTTAACAGCCAAAAACTATTGAAGAAAAAAAAATCTTTTAAGTAATTCTTTGTTTGCATAAAGTCACTTAATGAAGACATTCATATTTATATACAAAGAGGATGTTTAAGTTAAATGAATATGTTTAAAGTCCTGCTAAGCCTCATTTGGGGTGGGGAACCTTCTTTCTGCCAACGGCCATTTGGATACTTATAACATCATTCGAAGGCCATACACAATTATCAACTTAAAAATTAGCCTGCTGTATTTGATCAGACATTTTTTTTTTAACTTTTTAAAAAATATATATATTTTTATTGATTTTTTACAGAGAGGAAGAGAGAAGGATAGAGAGTTAGAAACATCGATGAGAGAGAATCATCGATCAGCTGCCTCTTGCACATCCCCTACTGGGGATGTGCCCGCAACTAAGGTATTCCTTGACCGGAATCGAACCCGGGACCTTTCAGTCCGCAGACCGACGCTCTATCCACTGAGCCAAACCAGTTTCGGCTGATCAAACATTTAATTAGCTCACCCCTAATGCCTTGGCAGGGCCAGACCCAATGTTTTGTGGGACTTATACCGCCTGCGGGCTGGATGTTCCCCATCCCTACTCTAGACGTGTCAGAAAGTAGTATATGAGAAGTGCCACATCACTCGTGTATTGTGCGATTGCTTATGCAGATATGTATGAACAGGTTATACAGTCAGTAGGAGACCACAGAAATTAAAGTAGTTGCTATAGTGATTTTATAGAGAAACACTACCTCATGGATATCACAGAATTTGGTGAGTCCTGCCTCCCTTTAGCGCATGACTCAAGGGAGGAATCTGAGTGTGGACTGTAATTCACTCTCTTTCTGGCTGATACAGCAGGTGCACAAGGCTTTTTTTGTCCATGACTTAAGCACTCCAGTATCTTAAGAACGTAGCTGTGGACAGGAATGCTTAACAAGTAAGCTGCCTGACTGAGTGTGAAGGGCCAAAGTTGACTGGATCCCTAAAAAATTGGTGCAGTCCCCAGCTGCCACCACCAACCAAGCGACAGCTTGAGGTCCTCTTTCCTTTTGTTCTTTTGAACATCATTTTTTTAAAAGACGTTTTCTCCTTTCCTGGAAGCACATAAGCTTCACTTGCTGGTGTGCTTGCCATGGAGCATCCCAGCAATCCCAGAATTCAGCTCGCTCACAGCATGGTGGGAGCGGGGAGCACACTAGGTTATCACAGCCTTGTGTTTTCTCTTTGTTCCTCTCCGGCCTTTGGTTCTATAGTCTTTTTATCTGACTCATGTTTTATCTGAATAATATTTAACAGACCCAAGATAATTTTGTGGAACAAGGTCTCAAATGTTGGTTGAATAAGTACATGTTTCTTGTTTCCATTTAGATATTTTATGACCTGGTCAGACAGATCAATAGGAAAACACCAGTGGAAAAGAAGAAGCCTAAAAAGAAATCCTGCCTGCTGCTTTAGGCCCACAGTGAGCAGCAGCTCTGAGCCAGGTGAGTGCCGAGGGCAGAGTACGTGCCTCTCTTGTCCTTGACTTTGTTTTGGGCTGTCTCCAACCTTCATCACTTCTCATGGCACCTGTTGAGCTATTTCCGGCTTCTGTAACTTGTAAATGTGATACCTCACTGTAGCTATGCTCATCTTGTGGGTAATTTGTCTCTCTTCCCATGAGATTCTAAACTGTGAGAGAAGGCCGGTGTCTGTTTCGCTCACCACGGTGACCCCAGTTCCTGGTGTAGAAGAACCTTCAGAAAGTAGTGATTGAGTGAATAGAATGGCCACCAATATCACTCCCAAATTCATGGCCAAAATGAAGTGGAACAGTGAAACAAAAGGGCTTGCAGAGAGGCTGATGCGTACATTTGATGAATTTTTCCAAAGTGAACATACTCATCTGAGTAAGAATCTCCTCCCCCAAATGGAACCCCTGCCCTGAATCCTCACAACGTGGGTTAGTTCTGCCTCTCTGAAATTAATGCAAACAAAACATCTGGCTTCTTTTACTGAAAAATGCGAGGGTCTTTTTGAAAATTATTCTGATTGCCTATAGTAATAGTTCATTTTTATTACATGACTATCCTGGCAATATGTTTATACAGTCTGCTGTTGATGGGCATCCGGGTTCTTTTGGGGATTAGTAATTCTGCTGCACATGTTCTTGTACAAATCTTTGTACACATGTGCGTGTATTTGGTGCATATCCAGGAATGGCATGGTAGGTTGTACACTGTGTGTATGTGGCAGCTTTTGTAGACGCCACTAACATGTTTGTCAAAGCAGTTGCACCAATTGCACACCTACCAGCGGTTTAGTTCCACCTTCCCCAGCTTCAGTGTTGTTTGCTCATTTTGTTATTTTTTATATATTTTATTGATTTTCTTACAGAGAGAGGAAGGGAGAGAGAGAGAGAGAGAGAGCTAGAAACATCGATGAGAGAGAAACATCGACCAGCCGCCTCCTGCACACCCTCAACTGGGGATGTGCCTGCAACCAATGTACATGCCCTTGACCGGAATCGAACCTGGGACCGACGCTCTGCCGCTGAGCCAAATTGGCTTCGGCTGTCGCTCATTTTGACTGGTGTGTGGTGCTATGTCAGTGTGGTTTGGGTAGTTGTTTTTTATGTTTTGTTTTGTTTTTAGTTTTTTATTTTGAAGGAATATTTAATATTAACATTGTGAGTTATTATCTTTTGCATATCAAAGTTACACATTTCAAACAAATTGTCATTTATATTTACATTATACAAATGCAAAGCACTAATTTCCCACTAAATCATCACTTCCTTAAAATGGTACATGTGATGTTATGAAATTAGCTATTAAGTATTCGAAATAGTGGAAAAGAGGTCCTTTCTTCAGTTTTTTTTTTTTAATATATATTTTTTTAATTTTTTTTTTTGCCCCCTCTCCTTCCCTCCCACACATCCCCTCCCTCCCCAGAGTTTTATGTCCATTGGTTGTACTTATGTGCATGTATAAAAGTCCTTCGGTTGATCTATTATCTCCCCCAGATCTTCCTCCCCTCCCCGCTGTAATTTTGGGTAGTTGTTTTATCTCAGGTACAGTTGACTTCTTTCCAATGTTTTGTCTGGAGGCTTCGAAGTAGTAATTGACTTTAAATTCTGCGTAAGTTTTCATTAAGTGAGCCAATCAGCGTTAGCCTCGAAGCTGCCTATCCAGTAAGAAACCAGGCCCGGTGGGGCCGTTTGTTTGTTTTTTGTAATTCTGTATTTAACAATTTCTGCTTTTCTTCATCTACGGCATAAGCAATACCATAAAAGAATATGTTTACACAATGAAGTTATGATGTAACTTGTAAACTTGGTCTGTTTAGAGGAAAGTCAAGTTTCCACTTGAGAATTGGTTGTGCTAACTCCTCTTGGGTCTGTTCAGTAGATCACCACTTGCAGAGCCACACAGTAGCTGGAACGTGCCTCCTTAGACAGATGAGAGAAGTCTCTCTCTCTGGGGAAACAGCTGGGTTTCAAAGAAAGAAGAGGAAAAGGGGAGAAGGGCAGGAGCATGGCATCACCTCTGAGAGTTGGATTCAGGAAAGACAGCTTCCGGCCAGATGGTTGCTTGAGGCTTAGTGGAATCGATTCATTACTGTAAATCATCAGCTCCCTGAAAGTGGTTGTTGTTGAAATTGCTGGTACTTATGAGTGTTTAGGTAAGGGTGCAAGGCAGGGGAAACGGGGCTCTGTTCCTGACCTGGAACACATTAACTCTCTTAGAGTTGACTGGCTCGTGTATGTCATTACCTTGGCTGGTCCTGGTTTCATTTCCAATTCTCAGAAATGGCCATTAAACTTATACTTAAAGGAAGAGGTGCCATCTCCTGGCCTCTTGTGAAAATTCACCCTCACACATCCTCCTGTGTATTGTGAGATTTGCCATAGAGGAAAGATCTTGGCCTAGATCTAGAAATACGACTTTCATCCTTCCTGGTTGCATAAATTCTTAGGCTCTGCTATCTAATTCAACTCATAACATAGTTAATAAGTCACCGGAGCTCTCTCTGAGTGTTTGGGAATAGGCCACTTAGCAGTTGGAATACTTTGCATGCAGAGCATTTTGTCCTGATTACGACTTGAGAGCCCTGTTGATCCCATTTGAAAAGTACTGCGATATGGGGTGAACATTTTTCGTAAGAGTTTGTGAAGCTTGAGGGTAGCTTATCTAGCCTTAGCCTGTAGGCAGAATTGTGCTGGAATATGTTAATCTCTTCCTAATGTGTAACACTTTTAAAGATCTAGGAGAGAAATACATTTTTGGATAAGTCTTCCTTTAACCTCTTTCCTGCTGAGCAATGGTACTGTCCGTCTTCTGCCTTTGTATGCGGGGATCAGCTCTGTCCTAACCTGTATTATATTATAAGTGGTAACCCTAACAGGCACAGGCCTAAAATAGTTGAGGAAAGGCTTTCCCATGGACTGGCTGGTGTGGCTCAGTTGGTTTTGTATCCCAGGCACCAACAGTTGCAGGTTTGATTTCCATCAGGGCACATGCCCAGGTTGTGGGCTCCGACTCCAGAGAGGCATGCAGGAGGCAGCTGATCAAAGTTTCACTCCCACACCAATGTTTCTCTCTGTGTCCCTCTTCCTTTCTCTCTCTCTAAAAACCAATAAAAAAAAATTATTTTTAATTCTCATAGAGTTTGCAGGTGGATGCTGTTTCTTTAGTGGAAAGGAACTTTCAGAATAAAATTGTAATAGGATAGAAATAAAACAAATACTGTTTTCCTCTTTATAGACAGGACTGTCAGATATATTGTAAAACACGTATAACAAAACTACTTTTTAAACGCTTTTAAAGGGAATTGCTTAGTATAATTTGTTCTCTGGTAATGATCAGCCAAAACCATTGTTTCTTTCTATATTATTAAATATCTGCTTGTTTACTGTTACATTCTGACATCAAGAGATTAACCATATTTATAATATATATCTGTATCTGTTCAACATTCTAGATTACAGGAATGAAGAACTGTTGCCTAATTGGAAAGTGCCAGCATTCCAGACTTCAAAAAATAAATCTGAAGCGGCTTCTCCTGTTTTATATATTATGTGAAGAATTTAGATCTTATATTGGTTTGCACAAGTTCCCTGGAGAGAAAAAAAATTGCTCTGTGTATATCTCTCAGAAAATAAGACAATAGTATTTCTCCTTTGCAATAGCAGTTATAACAGATGTGAAAATAAATATACTTGACTCTAATATGATTATACAAAAGAGCATGGATGCATTTCAGAAGTTAGATATTGCTACTATAATCAAATGATTTCATATTGACCTTTTTATCATGATTCCTCCCGTCAGGCACTAAACGTTGAACCATTATACTTTATATCTGTAATGATATAGATGATGAAATTTCCCCTCAAACTCATTACAGCAGATAACTTTTTTGAGTCATTGACTTCATTTTATATTTAAAAATTATGAAATATCATTCTGTCATTATATTCTAATTAAAATTGTTTGTGCATAATGCTTTGGAAAAAAATGGGTCTTTTATAGGAAAAAAAAAACTGGGATAACTGATTTCTATGGCTTTCAAAGCTAAAATATATAATATACTAAACCAACTCTAATATTGCTTCTTGTGTTTTACTGTCAGATTAAATTACAGCTTTTATGAATGATTAAATTTTAGTACATTTTCATTTGGTTTGTGTGTTTCTGTTATTGTTTATAGATTTAAGGCCTTTATTTTATAATGACCACATCATTTTAAATGCAACAGGTAGCTCCTTTCTGCCTGGCACCTGCATAGCACTTGGCTTGAAACCCCTCAGTAACTGGTCATTTCTCTGAGAACAGACCTCTCACTGTCTGTTCTGGATATATTTATTCCTCCTATACAGTAACATACAGCGGGCTACATAGAATAGTTTTGTATATTCTCTCTCAATCTGAAAGTATGTATCTTATTGAATAATATGTCCCACTGTGTATTATTTTTATATGTAAAAAGATAAGTTTAATACTGTACCAGGGTTTAACTTTTGCAAATCTTCCATGGCTTGTAACTTCATGAAGGGAATCTTTTTGCCATTGTTAATTTGTGCGTATGAACCCACCAATGAAATGTCATGTAAAATGTTCACATTTGCTTTATGATAGGTTGAGGAATCTGAGAGGAATGTGAGTGAAGTCGCATAGGTGCTTTTGCTTTGACTCTGCAGAGCAGCATAATAGTGGTAGACCCAAAAGTACTGCTCAAGATTTTAGCTTTTCTTTTCCTTCCCAATTTTTTCTTTCTTTCTCTTTCTTTCCCTTCCTTCCTTTCTTCCCTCTCTTTCCACTTCCTCCCTTCCTCCCTCAAAAGATGGGGCTTAACTAGGACATGGACAAAGGGTGATATGACCTATGTATTCTCTATAGAAGTCAAGCAAAACAGCTTGTTAGCCAGTTACATCTGGAGAAGGAAAGAACGAGCTTAGGGACCCCTGTGCCTTG